GATGTGAAAAACCACATAGCTTACAAGTGTCTGCCGCATTGCAGAATAACTGCATACATTTAATTTTTCACAGACTTTTTAAAATTCAACTTCACGTTTTTAAATTCTAAGAATTTTTTTCGTTCTAGTTGTTTTGCCATGTAAAAAAACTTCCTTATTGCGAATTCCATAGAAGAAAACCCCCAACTGATCAATAGGAAATGACTTGGTAATGGAATAACGCCTTTGCGTTTTGGCACATGGAATATTCCTTCCTTATATCGTAGTAAAAGTGTTGGTCCTAGTTGTAGAGTTGGTCACATATCAGAATTCCAGAGTCAGCATCTGAAAAAAAGTTTTCAACAGGCACTGAAAAGAGGTCATCCAAGAATCAGATGTGTAGACTTCAAGATAAAGATTTGAGCATTCTCAAAGCGACCGGATAGAAAGTCAAGGCTACAGATAGGGCAGCTTGGAATAAAATTCTGAGGAAGGTCAAGGCCCACACTGTTCTGTCATGCCAATAAGGAAGAAAGGAAGTTGTTTTCTAGATCATTCACAATCAGTTTGTATAAATTTAAAAATAGTTTTGCATACTTTATACGGTCCTATTCATATCTAAAATCATTTAGTTTATAAAATACGCAAACATATACAGTGCCCGGCTGTTTGATGTGATCTCATTGGTAGAGGAAGGTTTTGATTCAAATAAATGGTTAGTTCAACTAACTTAATTTTTACCTGGTATTTTCATGGCATTACTAGTATGAATAGACTATAGACTTCATTAACACATTGCCGCACACTTTCAATTTGAGGATCATGGTCAGAAACACATTTTTTAATAGTTTATGATTACCATATGAAATTGAGCATCAGCCATACGTTTAAAAAGAAAATTATCACATTTTGTCACAAACTCTCGACAACTGTTATCGTTATTTGCTCACAGAGAAATTTTTTTTCTTTTGCAGAGCAAATGACAGATCGTAAGAATGAATAATAAACGAATAAATGAGTCGATACATTTCGTACTAATCATGTTCCTTTTTTATTGATTAAAATATGCAGGGTAGCTATAGCTTTTACTTAACTACGCATCACCAAACATAAGACGGCTATAGACGTTATTTGCTGCAATGTGTTGAAGCCCAATTTCAAAAGCCCTATGGTCACATAAGTGACACTTTTTAGTATATATGCTACTTCTTATACGTGTTTTAAGTTTGTAATAGTTATTCATGACTATTCGGTTAAGTTTGACCCATCTTTAGATATCACCTATCTATTGTAATTATAAAAAAGGTACAAAATGTCAATAAGAAAAAAAAACTCCAGAGTTTTCCGAAAATGCAAAGCATTTGTGATCTAATTTTTAAAAAATCATTTCAATGCATTGTGTCAAAAAAATCTACAAATATTGAGAATAATTCAAGATTTTCACCTAGTCAGAAAAATTTTGCTAAATTGGCAAGTTTTAAATTTTTTTATAATTTTAGGCATTTTTACTACTTGTTTAGTATAAAGCCCAGATGATTCTTTATAGTAAGACAGTTTATATAGTTAAAATTATTAGCTTTGCCTCGAGTTAAGGCACTTGAACTATGGCTCATTTATGTTCTTAGGAGAAAGAGCTTAAAAAACAAAGCATATATATATATATAAAGCTTAATTTTCAGCTAGATTAAAGTATGTGAAGCTATTTTAATTTAAAATTAATAAGATCAGGGAAGATTACCACAAATTAAAGTCATTTCTCTTCATTGATTCTTAACTGTCATTTAGAAAATATGAAAGAAAACTTCTGCTGTTTATCACAAAACTAAACATTTTAAATTTCTTAGGAAGGAAATACACCCCTCCCATACTTTTAACTGATCCTTCTTATCAAATCCCAAGAAGGTTATTGAAGACAATTTGTTATTAAGTAGATATCAACATGAACTTGATATTTTCTCAGCTCCTGAGAACGGATCATTTCTTAGAAAATGGGTGTAAGACATTGCCAATGGGCATTTCTCAATTAAAGGCACTATCTGGCATTTAGTAAATTCTGATGAGTGACTTAGTAGTTTTGCTCACATTATCAAAAAGTGGCGTGTCTGATATCTGAAGAAATACCGTTCTTGAAAATTTGATGAAGATCAGCGACTGATTCCACTGACCAGTGATCCTATAAACTGACGGGCACTGCAACATTTTTTATGTCACTTAAAAATAACACAGAAAATATTTGCGGTACAGTCAAACAATAAGAAAAAAAAACTGCAATGCATTCTTATTTTGTTATTTTAAACATAGTAATAGAAAAACAATGCAAAGAAACTATTATAAATGTTCCTAATTTCATGGCAACTTTTAAGCATGGTATATTTAGAACAATATTAGAATATATTTTATTTATATTTAGAATATCGGGCAAAAACTACACACAATTGTTCCCTATTTATAGATCACAAACACACTCTCTTTTGATGAATTTTCAATAATCTATAGAATTTTATGGCATTATATTTATTAAATTTTATGGCATAATTTATAAATAATATTAATAATAACCCATTTATTTTTCTATGCTAATCCTCTTTAAAAAATCTTTTTTAAAAATATTTTGTCATTTAGAGGAAAACAAGTATTGCCAAAAATATGAAATAAATAAATTGTAAAGTACCAAAACCATTAAATATTATAAATGAGATCCAATTTCATAAAATAGAGGTGGGAAATTTCTTTAGGGNAAGATTACCACAAATTAAAGTCATTTCTCTTCATTGATTCTTATGTCACCTAGAAAATCTGAAATAAAACTTCTGCTGTTTATCACAAAACTAAACAATTTAAATTTCTCAGGAAGGAAATACACCTCTCTCATACTTTTAACTGTTCCTTCTTATCAAATACCAATAAGAGTATTAAAGAAAATTTGTTATTTAAGTGGATATCGAAACGAGCTTGACATTTTCTCAGCTCGTGAGAATGGATTTCTTAGAAAATGGGTATAAGACATTGCCAATGGGCGTTTCTCAATTAAAGGCACTATCTGGCAATTAGTAAATTTTGATGAGTAACTTAGTAGCTTTGATTACATTATCAAACATTATATTATAAAAAGTCATAAGTCTGATATCCGAAGAAATACCGTTCTTGAAAATCAGATGATTTGCGACTGATTCTACTAACCAGTGATCTCATAAACCGACGGGCACTGTAACATTTTTCATGTAACTTAAAAATAACACAGAAAATATTTGCCATACGGTGGTCAAACAATAATAAAAACAAAAAACTGCAATGTGTTCTTAATTTGTTATTTTAAACATAGCAATCGAAAAAGAATGCACAGAAACTTTTATAAGTGTTCCTAATTTCATGCCAATTTTCAAGTATGGTATATTTAGAACAATATTAGAGCATATTTTATTTATATTTAGAATATAGGGCAAAAACTACACACAATTGTTCCCTATTTATAGATCACAAACACAAGAATTTTCAATAATCTATAGAATTTTATGGCATAGCAACCTATTTATTTCTCTATGATAATCTTCCTTAAAAAAAATTTTTTTTTTTTAATATTTTGTCATTTAGAGGAAAACAGGCATTTCCAAAAATTGTAAAGTACCAAAACCATTAAATATTATAAATGAGATCCAATTTCATAAAATAGAGGTGGGAAATTTCTTTAGGGCGTGAATTTGTGGGAAAAAAATTAACATCAGAATAATTATTAACTGTAATATCTGGATTCTCAATGATGTATAAGTTTGTCTACAAGATACATAAGGATTGTATTAATAATAGGTTATTTAATGTGAAGTTTTCGTTTGGGACAAAACAATATACATAAATCAAGAGTTTACAGCATTCATTTTATAAAAATATTTCATTATAAATACAATTTTTAAGGCTTAAATATATACATAAACGTTGCATATTGAAGTTATAAGTTTAAATACAAGTACATGCAATCAAAACTAATTCTGAAATGTAAGTATGAAAAACAAATTCACTGATAAAAAAAATGATATTGCGAAAGATATTGCTATTGCAATGAGAGTTACAATAACCAACATTTAAAATAAAATCTTAGTTATAATTTAACAACATTTGTAAATGAATATAAGTCTACAGACTAAATATTTAAACAATTCCCTTAAATATTTAAATATCAATCTTTTACATTTATTAACATGAAAGACTGAGAACACTTAATACATATTTTAATTCTTATCACATGGTCCACTTGCATCATTAAAGCGTTACACATAAAGAGCTATTATAAAAAGAATATAAAATAGATCTGAAAACAAAATTACTTTAAAATAATCAGTATAAAGATATGTAGCCATGTGCAACAGCTTAAAAAAAGAAATTGAATAAAATTTGAATAATTATCATATCTAATATTGGCTAAAATCAAATCCAACTAAGCATTACATTCAATATTCTAAATGGATTAATTCTGATCTAAATAAAAATCAGACTTAATTTTTCAGAAAATAAAAAATGCGTTACATCAGATCTGAATTTTAGATAAGATAAATATCAGACTTTATTTTTAAATAAGAAAAATATCAGATCTAATTTTTCAATAAGAAAAATTTTATACCTAATTTTATGTAACATAAATATCAGATCTAACTTTATATTACATAATTATATCATATCCAATTTCATATAACACAAATACATCAGATCTTATTTTCAGTTAACATTAATATCAGATCTAATTTCCTAAACAAAAATATTAGATCTAATTAGCATGGAAGGAAAACATTCAATTGAATTTTCATCATTTACAATTATCAGACCTCATTTTCATTGAAAATTAATACTAGATCTAAATTTTCCTTAAAAATAAATATCAGGTCTAATTTTCAGTGAAATATCAGATCTAATTTCATTCATAAAATTTTTTTCTAAAGACTGCGATAAATGAAATTTTAATGCTGCCTTTTTATATTGCATTAGGCAAATGATAAATGTGCTGCAATAAAATGTCTTTTTCTTTTTTGTGTGCAGAATTTCAATTTTTTAAGCATGTAGAAAAAGTTTAATTTCAATGACAATGTTCAGTTATATCTACTACAGTTGCTTTTCGCCATCCAAATAAGAAATATCCAATTCCAGCACCCGCAATTACACCTATGCATAACCATACGTTGTATGTCATAAATATCAGCATCAGGAAATAACTAAGTACCATCTGAATGACGTGTAAAGAAGTTTGCAACAGATGAGGCCAACTGAACATACGATTCCTGAAATAGAAAAAATCAGATAAATATTTATTTGTATATTAAAGTTACAGTAGTTTAATTTAAATAAATGACAAGAAGAAAATAAGTTCATTCATTGTTTAATAATTCACTAGGAGGCTTCACCCCCTGCTCGCTGGCGCTCGCCAACCCCCGGAACTGCTCTCTTAGTTAATTTCGGATTGCTTCGCAATCCGATGCTCGCTTTGCTCGCGCATAGGATACGTTCTTAACGTCTAGCTTCTGTATACTTTTTTGAACACTGAAGTTCCGGAAACTTTAACTGCAGAAAATTCTAAATTTGTGCATTTCAATATTAATTTGAAATTGCGAACAGTTCACATATTTTTCTTAATCACACTATTCTAAATTTCAGTTATTGAGAAAAGTAACTGTTGTAAGTTTTGTTTTAAAGTCTTTCCCACCAGATGGCTAAAACCATGTGTTGTAAAACAATATGAAATAGTACTGAAAGTCAGATGTAAAGCATCGGCTTCGATGAAGATAATTTTGTGAGAATTTTTTTGATAATTCGGTGAAAATTCACCCGATTAGACATATGATATTGTCACTACGTGCTCTTGCGCGTCGAAGCCTATCAATTGAAACATATTAGCGTGTTATATAATATAGATCAGCCATATGATGCTCACTATGTGCTCTTGCGCGCCGAAGCCAATCAACTAAAAAGTAAAACTGTTGCCAACGCGAGAAAAGAAATATCATCGGTTTTATTGATACATACGTATTAGCGTTTTATATAATATAGATTGTATAAATCAACATTTCTTGATAAAAAATATATTTTCATTTTAAAAATTTGTTTTGACTAATTATGTTCAGGCAAGAAAGAGATAGGAATTAATTTGAAACTTTAGTATGCGTGGGTAAGCAAGACGTCCAAAAACTAATGGAAATGGCTGAAAAGAGCAGAACTAAAAATTTTTGTTAGTAAAAACGTTAAAAAAATAAGGAGTTCAAAGAAGACCGGGATCTAGAAGACCTCATTTTCTGAGAAAATGATTAGAATATCATGCTTAGAATGAAAAAATAATTAGAATATCATTCTCAGAATGAAAAAATAATCATATAAAATTGGATAAGTTCCTTCCCACATTCCTACTACCCTGAAGGCTTGTGATAACATGATACTGCTAGTTCTCACACTTTAAGACTAACCACAAAATGGCTGGGTGACATTGAAATAAATATTTTAAAGTAATCTGCTTCATCCCCTGATCTAAGTTCCATATAGAATTTGCCGGGAATAATAAAAAATAAACCCATAAAAGCATGAAAAAAGACAGTTAAAAAACTGCAGAAAGATTTGAAAAAATTATGGGATGAAACAACTTTTGACACTCGTATCTTTCATAGAATCTGTGCCAAGACGGCTTCAAATGCTTATTGATGTTAAAGGAGAAAGAATTAACTACTGATTTATCTGTATCATATTGCATAAAGATAATATATCTGGAAATGTAATTTAATTTCTGATTTCTATTTTCATTTACTTGAATAAGGAATTTTTTGAAAGTCTGAAATTTTTTGCTCCGTACTGTAGCAGATCTTTCTCAAGAATTATATCATTTAAATTTTCCGATTGGCAACTTCTAATTAAAATTAAGATTTTACGCTTAAAACTTAGAATAAGTGTCAGAGAAAAAATATTTATGATGTAAAAAATATCTTTATAAACTTAAAAATTAAAACTGCAAATTTAAATATTTTAGAAATTACAATGCAATAATCATTTGCCAGAGAAAAAATATTTATGAATGACAAGTGTGGCAATTTTCTTCCACAGTGGAAAAAATCATGAAAAAAACCATCCTGAAAGAAATAGGTTTCTTCAAATCCAAGTAGAAAATATGCACTAAAATGCAATGCTTGAAAAGAAAATGAATTTAACGAAGTTCTTAAGAAATAAAAACTGTAGTTCTTCAATACTTTATAAAATGATTAAAAGGTAAACCCAAACAATTAAAATCTCCCAACAATTTAAAGAATTTCAAGAAGACTATTATAATTAGCCATCAAAAGAAATTTTTTAGCAAAAATTTCCCCCTGATTTTTTTAAGCTAATTTGAAACTTCTCAAGTGTTAAACGTTCTTCAGATTTTTCCTTGAGCTACATTAAGCCTGTTTATGAGATTTATTATAAAAATGGGATTTTTAAATGAAAATAATTATGCTTCAAAAACTATCAGTTACATTAGTTAACCTTTCAAAACAAGTTTATTTCGAAATGTTTGTTAAAAGACAATGTGAATGACTTAAAATCAAATAGAATCAATCAGTTATCAAATCAAAAATCCATAAGACAGGCAAATAATACAGAATAAAAAAACAAAAATTTGACATTTTTTTTTTTAAATAAGTTAATTTAGAATTAAAAACCTTAAGAATTTTTATTGAAAAGAAATTCAGAGATCAGTGGATGGGAGAATTACATATTTATTAGTACATTACACAGACAGAGAGTAACCCAGTTGGAACATATCCAAGGAAAGGACTAAAAAAAACATTAGAGTAATAGATAGCCTTCTTGGGCTCAAACTCAATGTTATATTCTGATCAGAACATCCTGATTGCATGGATTGTAACATACAATAGAAAAGGGCTTAAAGAACATCAGAGTAACAGATAGAATTTTTGGGCTCAAACTCAACATTACATTCGGATTGCATGCCGAAGTAGAAGAAAGTTGCTTCAACTATAACATTGTACATTCAAACATTTATATTATTTGAAAACTTTATTATATTAGGAATATATTATTGGTTGAAATATTGAAAAAGGTTGTACGAAACAGAGCAAAATATTTTTTACATGTTTTTTTCCTGCACCTTTTTCACTAATATTTTAATTATTCAGATATTGATTTCTTCGTCACATAGAAATCCATAATTTTGATCCTCTACAGAGAGGATGGCTCTTCCATTTTGGTAGTCCAATTTAACAAAACAAATTTCGTTTATACCGACAGATGCTGAAGTTCAGTCAATGCTATTCTTCAATTGTGATGTGACATCATTCATAATCCTTAGGCAATAATTGTTAATAAAAAATAAATTAAAAAAAAAATTTTATTTGGCATAAAATAATCATTATATTTCTTTTAAAGAAAAAAGGTATATTTAATTTACAAAACAGATTGGAAATAAATATTAATTTGTGAATGTAATTCAGACCATTGAGCTTTTCTCAAGACTGATTTCAGTCCTCGGGACTGAAAAGTGGCATCCATGCTGCCAACTCAGTCGCTATGAAATTATACATAAAACATTCAAATAGATATTAAAATTTCAAAATGTGAATGAAGAAACTTCTCATAAAATACATTAAAAATAGCTTAATACAAAAAAGTAGTTTGAAATTACCTTGCAACTTTATGAACCTCTGTCACTGGTTTACCATCTTCTCCAAGTACTGATACCGAAGAATATTCCAATGAAGTAAAATATTTCTTAAATAAGTATTCTCTAAAAAACTTAATTCCTTCATAAACCATTGCTAAGATAATTATACCAATGACTGAAAACAATAAACCTGAAAGAAATACAATTAAAATTTAAATATTTACATAATAAATATCTAAGTTAAAAAATAAGAAATTAAATTCCCTAATAAAAAAAAATGATAATTCATAGATTGATTTATGTTAAATAATCGTACTGCTATGGGCAAACCTTTTTTACAAGGAAAAATCAATATCTGTTAAGCATTTAATACAAGATTTAAAATTAATTATGAATTCTAATTATTACATTATAAATAATAGCCTTATTATTTTATATTTATGTCTGTAGCCAATGCAATTGACATTGTAACTGATATGAAACGATAATTTGCTTGTCATTAAAAAAGTAAAACATTTCTAAAAAACTTAATTTATGCCTGGAAATAATAAACCTAAAAAAAAATACAATTAGATTTAAATATTTACATAATAAATATCTATGTTAAAAAAATTAATTTCCTAGCAAAAAAATACCATAATTCAGAGAATGATACATATTATATTATTATAATGATATGAACAAACCATTTTTACAAATGAATGTCAATATTGGTTAAAAATTTAATACCAGATTTCAAATTAATTAAAAATAGTACAGTATTTTTAAATAGAATTAATTAAAAATAGTACAGTATTCCAAATAGTACAGTATTTTTTTTAATTCAAATGATTAAAAAAAGCAAGCTAATATGTTTTTTTTTATCCTTCTCAAATTTATAAATTACATAATTTATATGTTTACACATCTTAATGGTACTATATAGTTCTTTTTAACGATTTTCACAAATTAAAATAAATGATAAATTATTTGGAATGAAAAATAATATCTCTGATACTAAAAATAAATCATGGTACATATTATAGAAAAGTAGCATTATTACAGTACATCCGTGTCTGTAACAATTGCTATGAACAGTGTAACAGGTATTAAACAATAAATTCGACATTTTGTTACAATTATAATAGCAAAAAGGTGCTACCATTTCACTGTCATTCACTGCCCAAAACCATTTTACTGTTATTTATATCAAAATTAAATGCAACTTAACACCTGAAAATGCCTTTAAAGAAACAGAATCAGTTAAAGAAAACATATTTTGAAGTACCAAATAAAATTTAAAAAAGTCAAAATTTCCAAACTTAAACAGGAAAAATCAAAAGTTAACTTTTTATGAAATTATATGTATTTTTAAAAGAAAAAAAACCTTGATATGTGTAACAAATTTGGTATTGTGGCTTAACTACCACTACTACAACTATTAAATATTCACTAGTATATAAAACATGCCAACTGAATTGAATCTTGAGGTACCTTTTGACAGATGAAGGTTGACATTGTCGAAAGCTCTTACCCCACATTGATAACCTGCGCCTACTTCGATACATGATCCAAATTTATCAATTGACTTGTTATTTGTGACTGCGTCCTCCTCGCACTGTTGCTTCTCAGTCTCATTTACACACAATTGTATATTACACACACTTGACAACTAATAGCAATACAGGAGAGACAACAGACACAGCCGTAAGCTTAATACAGCTCTCACGACAAATGTTCAAAATACGGTGAACTTTTCACAGCTCTCCCGGTCTTTCACAAATATGGCAACTAGTAGTATTAGTTCATTGAATTCTATCTGTGATAAAATTTTGGTCGGACAGTATTGTGGCATGACTACCACTACAATTATTAAATATCAATTCACTAGTATATAAGACATGCTAACTCGATTCAATCCTGAGGTACCTTTTGATAAATGAAGGTTGACATAGTCCAATGCACAAACCCCCAGCATATTATGAGACAAGTTTCCAAGTCGTTGTCAAAAAGCTAATAATAAAGATATTACACTTGTATTGAATAAATAATCTCAAGAAATGAAGCAGTAAGGCTTGATTAAAAACTTCATCCGCTCCTAAAATATACAATTAGGAAATAACATTCGACTTGTTTCAAGAGCTCAAAAATGGCACCAACTTTCCAGACTTGCCATACATGAATTAAAATAAACAAAGGTGATTTGAAATATAAAGCGTAAAGTTGCCTACAAAGAATGGAAAAATAAAAGTTAGAAACGAAACTAAAAAAAACAAACGAAATAGTCCCGAGGGGAAAAAAAAAATCACACTGGCCTGAGGGGCAAATCAGGGTAAAACGCATTTCCCTGCACTATGGAGAGGTGGTGAGAAACTAATGTTGCCGATCTGTCTTTTCATGACGTCAACAGAGGTGGCCTTTCTGCACCAAGAAATGGACACTGAATAAAATTAAAATCGTTTGGGAAAAATCATGTACCTTCGATAGCAATTTCGAAGTCACTGGAGGTCATCTCTAAGAACGACTAACCTCCATCAACAACTATTTTACTGTGGAACGGAGAGTGGTCGCTCCAGAGAGGTTTCACTGTATTAGCTTATAACAAGCTAGCTGTAACAACAATTATATGTGATATTGTGAGTTGTCTTCATAACAGACTTTTACTGCGCTCATGTATTTTGCCATAAGTTGCCATTTTTTTTTAAAATCAACAATTACAAGCAGTTTACTTTTTTTTAAAAAATAAATGAACTAAAAATTATATTTTGAGAATCATTTAAGGAAATTAAAAATTAAACTTTTTCAAGAAAATGTAAAACATGTTAAATGTTATAAGTAAAATATACAAAAAGAAAATTTTCATTTAAATATTTTAAGTTACTAAATTAAAGTATTTAGTAATGAAAAAAAAAGTTACAAAATATTTTTCACACCTTGTTAGCCTTCATTTCTTAAAAAAATTCCCTTTCATAATCAGCTATTATAGCAATACAAAATAAAAATTATATAACATGAAAAAAAAAGGCATAACTTTAAATACCACAGATAGAAATTGCATTTTTTCTGTACCAAGAATATCAAAAGTAATGTTATTCTTCAAAAACAAACATTCAGAAATGAAAAGTCTTCAATAGCTTTTATACTTAAGAGCCCTATAACTTTTATTTGTTAATTATAAATTTCCCTAATGAATTTCTCATTAATCACTGTTTTAACGCAATCTCGATATGGTGAACATTTTAATTTAATCTTAAAACTTTCTCATTGCAGTATTTTTTAAAATTTTTATCATTAAATATCTGTTATATTTTCTTTAAAAAAGTACTTAGTATTTCTCAAAACAATACATAGTTAATGAACAAGTGATCAAACCTGCTGTGGTCGATGTAGTCCATTCTTTAAAAAGAATAGTTGCGTCAACTCCAAAATAAAAGAACATCTAAAAAAGAAACGAATTAAAATATAATTAAATCAAGGAAAAGCTTTAATTGATTTGATGAAATAACAAAAATAAAAAGCATTCAACTGTATTCAATAATAACTTTAATGATATACTAACTTTTTTTGTTTATAGTAACTACATTTACTCATGGATAGTTTTAATAGGAAATTTGCTATTGGGAATAAAAAAAAAACTATGCTTTGACTAACGTTTATCTTGACTATGCATCAGTTCAATAAGTTAAAATAAAAATTATTAAATTTAATCCTTTTATCTCCCACATATCAAAACACTCTAAAATAAAAAAAGTTAGGCATTTCTTTGTAATGTGAAATAAAGTAATATTTCCATATCGGTACTTGCTCATGCCAAATACAACCGCCAAGGCTCAAATGAATTGAGTAAAACTAGTTTATTTTTTTAAACAACATAGATTTAAAAATAAAAAATCGATTAACTGTACACGAAATAAAACAGGTTTTGTTAAATTTTGGTACTTGTCAAAGAATTTAATTTCTTATGAAAATGTGTCATGTCGTATATTTTAAAATTCAAAATGTTTTTGGTTGGTCATTAGAAAATTAAATCATAAAAAAGAAGGAAAATGAGTTGGAAGTTAATATTTGAATGTAATTATAATTAGGTAAATAAGTTTTTTAAATGGAAGCCAAAATTTTACAATTTATGTCATTAAGATAAAGATATGATTAGAAAAAGTAACATAACATGAAGATGACCAACTTTTTTACTTTTCTCCAACTAAACAATAAAAATTGCATCTTATAAGAAACCTTATTAAGAAACTCCAAGAATTAGATCTAAAGTAATTCATCCACAGTGATCTAAAGTATTTCATTCACAGTGATCTAAAGCAATTCATTCATAGTGATCTAAAGTAATTCATTCACAGTGATCAAAAGTAATTCATTCATAGCGATCTAAAGTAATTCATTTTAAAGAGGGAGCACTGTACAAAAATCAAAGCTAAAGGCAATTTTTTAAGAGATTACTTATATACGAATAAAAAATAAGTAAAGCATTCCCACTACAGCCAGTTGTAGGCCAGGGGGGTCATGGAGGTTAAGGCTTAACAAATCCGTTACCAACAACATGATTGTGGCACTGCGCACAGACTGATTTTACTTTCCAAACAAGCTGGTACACATCGAACTAAAGCCGGGTGTGCTTCAGGCAGTCACTGGAGATCGAACCCCAGTTCTTCACAATGACAGTTCAGTGCCTTGACCACTGAGCAATCGCAGCTCTATATACATATCAATATGTTTATAAATAGTTAAAAGTCATAATAAGAATAAAGAATAATTTCTATTATGAGAGTATTAAGAAGAATGCTCTTAGTTATTAAGGATTATTCCTAATTACAATATTAATTAATTAGGAATATTATGTATTATTTAATGATAATTTATTTTAATCTTAATAAATTTTTTAGCAAGAACAGGAAGTTTTTCGTGTTGGTATACCGACCAAAAAAAAATAGTAATTCGTCAAATATGTATAAGTACATATATATGTACACGTACACACACATATATACACTTATATAACAGGATATAACTTGTAACAACCCCCAGATAATCATTAACACATAAATTTTTAAAATTTTTGCAAGATAAAAACATTTTTGGTGACTTGGTGTGAACAGGTATCAATATGGAAATATCACAGTAAGAACAAATTGTGAAATATACCTGCATCCCATGATCTCCTCCAGCAGCGACATGGCTGGCGTGAACATCAGAGGATGGAGTTATGGCAGTCGCAGCCTGGTCTGAGCTCATATGATGACCTATGTGCTGGTTGTCTGTACTCGTATGGTGATGGTGACCATGTGTATCACCTGTCATTACAGTGCTCATAACTGCTTGAAGGATGGTGGCAGCTGTTGTTGGCAAAGAACTGAACATGGTGGTACTTTCATCTTCCATGGGATGAGAGTCATGCATTCCATGGTGATGATGATGACTATGGTCTGCCATAGATAAATGATGAGTCAAACAGCTGTGGAAAAAATGTTCCGTAATTTAATGTCATTTGATATTAAAAAAAGATATTTTTTATTCCTAAATAAAATATAAAAATTTATTAAATTTAATATCAAGATTCATTATCATAAAAATAATGGAAACAACATCAACTATGTAAAATACACATTCAATGTAAAATACACATTCAATGTTAAATCTATTAAATATACTTAAAAATACAATTTTAAGCAACAAAGAACAGTAGATTTTTGCAGGCAATAACTTTAAAATATATTTCAAAGAATAAATCTGGTTTAATATTCTTCTTTTAAAATTAATAATTAACTAAATAAATATATAAAGGTGGGATTTTTGGTAATAGTGACGTTCCAAAATGATCTCCAAGCCTCATCAACAATCGAGCAGTTATCTATGGGAAAACAAATATAATAAAACTTGTAGCCATTTAACACATGCAAGCCACACATGTATATATATATAAATTTATTTCATCATATAAGTACAAGAGCCGAGTAAAGGCACTTGGCGATTTCAGTTGTAGTAAACAGGAATCAATATGGAAATATGGAATAAAACAAATTAAAACCTACTTAATTAGTTGTAAGAAATTAATTTAATAGAAAAAGCTGAAGCATCACTACAAATTATACAAAAATAATAAAATAAACTTGCAACTAATTCCACAAAATAGACATTCAGAAACTTGTTTCAGCAAATGCTAATTGGACGAATTATGAAAAGTATAAATCAAATAAAGGATCTTTTAATACATATCACCTAACTATTACTAACTGCAGAACAATCGCAGAATGGAGGAAATGTTCTAGAGAAAGCTCTGGCTCACAAAGGGCTGTTATGCCAATAGAAGAAGGAGAGTACATATCAAATGCTGAACAAAGGGATTGACTACGAATCGTTAAACAACCGTTGAAAATTATTGCTTATTCAAGAAACCACAACAATATGATTGTTAGGAAAAAATGTAAAAATTTTTTAATCGGCATAAACTTACAATGCTGCTTAGTAAAGAAATCAATGAAATTACAAGAATGCATAAACTGAAAGAAGACAAAGAAAATGTTGGCAATGAAAAACTAAAAAATAAATTGCATGCTATATATTCAATAATGAAATATAAAGCGAATATGAAACATCGATTTATAACTAGTAACTAAATTAAAAATTTCGAAGCAAATTTTTTATGCATTGCATATTTTCTTTGCACCTGACACTGGTGTACCTTTGATATACAAATTTTTCTAACGCTCTAATTACAAGTAAAAATATATTTTCGTATCTTTTAATTATAAAAAAACAGTCAACTAATTGCTAAAAAAAATCTGTTAGATTATTGGAATAATATTTGTACTAAAATAAATAAAATAAAATAAAAAAATAATAAAAAAATGTAGCTAGAAATTTTTTTTTCACTTATAATTAAAAATCAATAACTGATTTTGTAAATTAAAGAAATTTCAAGGATGAGTAACTTTTTTTCTTAACTGCAAATTTGAGAAATAATTGTTTGAAAAATAAGTGAGCGGTGTTTGGAAGATTTTACCTTTAACGCAGAAAAAGTCACCGGTGACAAACACGGATTAAAAAATTGTCTAAGCCCATTAAACGAGTATTTCGGCACCATTCACACGCGCATATCTTTTGGAGTCATCTTGCCACCCCCCCCCCCTTCATTATTTCCTTTCCAAAGACCAAATAGCAACTCCAGTATTCATAATCTCACGGAAATCCTCATTGCGAAATATATCTTGAAACCAGAATTCAACAAAAATAAAAATATTTCTAATGGTAATTGCAACAAGTGGGAAATCGGGATTTTTACTCATTGCGTCATTTGATTACTCGCGTGTTTCCCGAAATGGAATAAAGCTAATTTAAAGTCACGCAAACCCTTTAAAGAAATGAAATGATGCTAATTTTACAAAAGTAGTCCGCGCAAATCACGTGACAATTGTTTTTTCAACATATATTGTTGAAATTAAAACATTGTCTTCTCAACGTTAACAGAAATTTTTATCTGCACGACTTAAATAGATTTTTGAGGTAAAAACACAAAATGCAAAATTTTATTTTGATTTATTTTATTTAGTAGAAAAAAAATCTATATGGAAAATAAGCCTTCGCGAATTTCGCTAAAAATAAAACAAGTTATTATTAACACCTTAAACAGATTTTTAAACGCGCACAGCTTTAAATAACCGTAAGTTTTAGAGACATAGAGCACTAAAAACAAAGAACTTTTTAATTAAAAGGAAAAATCCGAGCAATGGACAAAATGGTGTCTTGGGATATTCATCCACTTTTAAATGCACCTAGATAATTTTTTTAAAAAATTTTTTCCGCACATGCGCTGTATAAAGCAACTACTTCAATTACTCTTATCTGGCGCAGTTTTTATTATTATTTTTTAAATTTTAAAGCAATAATTTCGTTATCAGTTTAAAATTGATTCAAACGCTTTGTTTAATTTTTTTTAAATATTTAAGCTATAGCAAAAGTGGCACTAGACCTAGTATACATTTAGGACATTTACCAAAGGTCTAGTCATACTAGGTCTGGTTAAGTGCCATTGCCCGGTTTACCCTACACTGATGTTTTTTTAAGGTTCAGTGCCACTGCCCGGTATACATTTGCCCGGTATACCCTACACTGATGTTTTTTAAGGTCAAGTGCCGTTGCCCGGTATACATTTGCCCGGTATACCCTTCACTGATGTTTTTTTTAAGGTCAAGTGCCACTGCCCGGTATACATTTACCCGATACTCCAAACACTGATGTTTGTTCTAATCTATCGTCAGTAAGTATTAAAAGATCGAATAAATATAATTATATTCACAAATAAATTAATATCAAATCGGATGTTATAAATATTTCGGACATTCACCAAAGCGACTAATTTGATTGTCAACATTCACTGGTGAAAGTCAACAACCACCGATTTCGGTCATTCACAGTAACATGCACATCATTTACATAATAACCTCATCAGGACGATTGTTTCATACTTTGCCGAAATAGTATCCGGCATTTAAAAAAATAAAAGCAATTGGTTTTGTTGGCGATGATCTCGTAAGGCGATAAAGAAACATGCATAGTACAGGTAAGGAAGATATTAACCTCGAAGGAAAAGTGGATGAATAGCCCAAGGAACCGGACAAAATAAATTATGAAGAATTTAGATGCAAACAAGCCATATTGTTGATCGCAACGTCAAAAACATGAATTTCAATGTACGGGACTTTAAATAACAGGTAGTTTTGGGGATATAGAATATAGAGCTCTATAAACTCAGAATTTAAATTTTTCATTGAATGAAGAATAAAATCCAAGGAAGGGACTAAATAAATTTTGAGGAAAATAAGCCATATTGTTGATCGCAACACCCTAAACAGGAATTTCAATGTACGCGACTTAAAATAACCGGTAGTTTTAGAGATATAGAGTGCTAAAGAAAAGAAGAAAAAAAATTTTAATTTAAAGAAGAAAAAAATTAATTTATTGGACAAAACGAACCCTGAAGATTTACAACTAATATTCATCTCCGTAGCCTTGTAATTAACTCCAGAAGAAAAGGGAACTTCTGAATCAAGTATTGGGAGAAATTGCCTTCGAGGTTTGATAGATCTAACCCACGTTAAATAGAGAGGAAAACCACAAAAATCTCCCAAGGTTAGCCTGACTACAAAGGGACCCTAATCCATAATCCGTCTAGCATTTAGGATATTTTACGTTAGGCACTATGAGTAGTACAAGCCGGGTGCGAAATTCATCTAAGTCATTTCTGAGATTCGAACCACGGACCCTCGGGAGTAGCAATTTGGATAGTTGCTGTTCTGAATATTTGAAACAAATTTCGCATTGGACACAGCTATTCCACTTACCAGCGTTAAATACACCGAAAATCGTAAGCAGGTCGCAAAGAAAAAAAAAGGATTAAGGAGCGTTTTTGAGTTGTGGAACAAACAGAAGAAAAATAAAATCATTTTGTATTAAATTTATAGAGAAATTTTGGTTTTAATTCTTTGTTGAATTCGGAAGTCCTGGGTCCCGTAGTTTTACATGATCTAACAGAATCACTAAGACATAAATTTCAGAAGTGATTAATTTTTGAGATTATAAAACATAATATTCGTAATTTATAGTACCATATGCTGAAACCCTTAAATGTCCTTCACTTAATATCTAGACATCGATGAATAAAAACTGTCAACATTGTCCAAACACAGACAAAAAAGGGTTAATGTGACATGAAATCAGATTCATTTTGATATAAAATATAGCAAATGTTCGGACAGTTGAACCATTTCATAAAAACAACCATTTGAAAGACTGAGAAAAACATTAAACAAAACTGGCCAACCATGACCTAAAAATGTCCGTTCCCTTGTCTACAGTTTTATTACTTTTTAAGTCTGACGTTTGAACAAAGTGAGGCAGGTATATATTGCGTTCTGCATGGTGAAAGTAAAGACATTCAACGTTTTAAGTATCAAGTCATGAGAAACGAGGTATTCATTTCTTGGCCTGGTTTCTGATATCTTGATTTCGCCAACGGGATAAATCATTTTATTCTGCCTGAAGAGTTTATTTGAATTTAAATTTTGAAGTTCACATTTAAGGAAATTATGATTTATATTGAATTGTGCAATTGATGGAAACTGAAAAAAAAACAATACAACTGCTTAAGAAAACTGTTACTTTAATTATGAATTTTTGTAAACAAAACTAATCAATAAATTGCTACAAGTATTTAAGTTACTGTATTTTAATGCGTTCTTTTTTTTAATTTATTGAATATGAAAGTTATTTTTTGTTCTTAACACTAGATTGCCCAAGGAAATCATTTTGACTGCATTTTAATTTCAATTAGAAAAACAATGATGTATATAATGATACAATTTCTCAGAATGTTGTGACTTTTATAATTATTTTTATTGTTGATATTTACTAATAACTTGTTATATAACTGAAAATATCAAAAATATTAAAAATTAA